GTCAATAACATTTAAGTGCTTCCTACATGCCAGGCCACATTCCAATTTAGTTACTTCAACAGACCAGTAGCTTCAGAGAAAGTTCAAAAACAAAGGAAAAGTCAAAATTAGTTCACAAAAAATGAGTCACTTGAAAAATTAAACTTTAATTTTAGAGAATATTGAACAGGGAACAGTTGGCCATGTCAACATCTTATTCAAACTGCATTTTTTAAATCAAAATTGAACTCAATTTCTGGCTTAATCTTTCCTTTATGGATTTTCTTCACTACTTTTAGAACCAGATTACAACTTTAACCCTGAGTGCAGCTCTCAGCCAATAATGGCAGCAATTCTACCCTGATTTTTATTGTACTGCACTTTACAGATGAAAAGCCTAAAGCTAACAGGTTTTAAATCTTGCAAATTTAGGGCCACAGTATCATATTAAATTGATTTCTATAATAGCTAATATTTATAAAGTTGCCTTAAGGTTTATGGAGTACTTTACATGTGTTATCTAACGTGAACTTCATAACAACCCTGTGAGGTTAAGTTTTACCAATGACTGGGAGGTTAAGGACTTACAGCTAAGATGTGTCTGAGATCAGCAGGTCTTCCTGACTCCAGTCTCAGCCCCGCACTCTTTCCACTACACTACCACCAGGCTGCCTCTATTATGTACTGACATACACTTGGACTTAGAGAAACAACTGAAGTGTGTCTTTCTCTCCCCTCTTCCTCTGTGTCCCTCAGTGTCTGTCTCTGTGTGTATGTGTGTCTCTCTCTGTCTCTCTCTCTCACAGACACACACACACACACACAAACACACACACACACACCCTTAATCCTATCCCAATGAATGACCCATAACCCAACTTCGGCTAAATCCTAATAAACTCTAGTCATCTCAGAATACCACCCTATCAACTTTTCATTCCAGAACACTAGTTCTCTACCACTTCCAAGGTAACTCTGTCATAAACTAGCCTAGCCCCTTTTCCAAACCCCTCCAGAATGCCTGTCCCATTTCTTTCTTATCTGGGGGTACTTCTGACCCATGAACTATCAGAACACTGCTCCCTACACTTTCCTTACATGTTCTCCTCTCCCTTACAATATGTATAACATAGCTTCAAAGGTTTTACACACACACACATATATGTATATGCATATATATATGAAGTTATTTCCTCCTATGGCTTATGTACTTATAACAAAAATGCAAAGCAATAATAAGAAAAAGTTCACACAGGCTTTTTCAAAATCTTAATCTTCTTGGTATAGTAGGAAAAATGCTGGATTTGGAGTACAGAGCTGGCTTTGAAATCCTGCATCCTATGTTTACTAATTGTGTGTTCATAAGCCTGGTTTCTTAATCTAAAAAAAAAATTAAGGGGGGAAATAAAATGGAACTCAGCCCACAGGACTTTCGTAAGGATCAAATGCAGTATTTGTAAAGCACTTTGCAGACCTTAGAACAGCATTGTTATAAATGCCTATTGTTGTTTTAATTACCATTAGTATTATTATTAGACGCTGACTTCGAGGACAACACATGAGGAACCGCTGAGAACCACTCTGCCCAGCAGCACATGTCACCAAAGAACCAATAGTTTATTTATAACATCCCTCTTGCTCTCTGATTTTCCGTCTTAGCTCACCTATGGCTCTTTCCCTACCAGTGACAAATATGTGCAGACAGGCCCTTATCCTTAAAAAACCTTCACTTGATTCTACCATCCCCTCAAGATATTATCCTATAGGGTTCTCTCCCCTCTTCCAGCTAAATTAGAAAAAGCTGGCTCCACTCCAGGCCGTTTCTTCTCTCATTCACTTGTAATATGGCTTCTGACCTCGCTGCTCTCCAAAATGACCAATGAGCTTAGTTGCCAAATCCCAGGGCCTTTTCCCCCTGCTTCCAGACTTCTCTTCAGTACCTCACACTGCTGAGCTCCCACCTGGTGCACATTCTTCCCTCCCTTGGAGGACTTTTCCTCCTACCTGCCTTGCTGGTCCCTTTGCAGAATCATCATTCACCACCAGCCCGTGGGGGCAGATACACTCAGAACTGTCCCAGGCCCTCTTCTCTGCTCTGTCATGGTTTCAACTTTTGTCAGCTCCCAGATCTCTACAGCCCAGCCTCTCTTCTGAACTCCAGTACCACATCACCAACCATCCTTTGATTTCTGCCACGATTTCTGGAGGCGATTCAAATGCAACAAATGTACAAAGAGATCTCATCTTGGACCCCAAACGCTATCTTCTTCTGATCTGTTTCTGCTGAAGGTGCCACCTTCTTTCCAGTCAACCAGGTTCCCAAAGCTCAGTCACATTCAGTTTTTAAGTCTTATCAATTCTAGTTAATAAGCAAGTATTTACGTACTATACGTTAAACATGCTCAGGACATCTTGATCTATCACCTGTTCTCTATTCACAAGACAAGACACCTAGTCCAGAGCCTCATCACCTCCCCTGGCCTACCGCCTCCAGTCTCTTCTCTCTTTAATCCATTCTCCACACAGCTGCCAAACTGCATTCCTAAAGCTCGAGTCTGACCAGGTCACTCTCCTGCTCAAGAAGCTCCAGTGGCTACCAATTGTCCAGGTGCTTCCTCCAGATAAAATAAAAAATCCCATCTGACATTTAAAGCCGCCCTTTACAATCCAACCTAAGCCAATCTTTCTAAGCTCCTTACTACCTAATCTTCTTCCTGATGCCCTATCTTCTGCTGCCTGTGTACTGTATTCAGAGTCTCATTATCACAGCCTTGCAAAGGCCACCCCCCCATACCCCATGCCGGGAATACCCTCCCCTTTCTCACACACCCCCACCACCGTGGCTGCCATCAACCCTGATGGAGGTAGCCCCGGACCCCGAACACAAAAGCCCTGGACAAATAGCTATGCCCCAAACCAGGAGTCCTGCTTCCAACCCAGCCATCGAGGGTAGAAATGGCTCACCTGCCTCATCACCACCGGCAAAGGCTGCTACCAACAAGAGCCCTGGGAGGGGCAGAACCCAGGCCCCCAGCCCTGCTTCCAGGCCAGCTTTCACAGCCATCTGGGTAAATAACTCCTGTGAAGAATGGGTCAGCCATCTTCACCAACTGCCACTCACAGGGCAAGGCCAGCTGAGCAGAAGCTGCATGGCCCTCAGGGGAGACAGGAGGCAGCATGTGCCAGGCGAGTCAGACTGTCACCACCACCGTGTCCCCTCTGACCCTGATGGGGACAGCAGTGAAACCAGCCCAGAGCCATCAGCCACCCTCCTGGGGAGCAGCCCCTGGGGAGATTCGGCCTGGCACTGTCCCTGAGGGGCTGCAGCCACAGCTACCGGAGATCCAAAAAAAAAAGATGTGGCCACCAAAGTCCTCGACAGTCAAATGGCTCAACATCAGTAACTGAGAGGATTTTATCAGTGGAAATGACGTTAGAGAAGCACTTAAAAATGTCTGTTCATTCATTCATTCCCTCCTACCTCATGGAATCCCTGTCTTTCTTCAAGAGAGGAAGACTTCACAAAATCAGGTGCTAGCTCTTTTACAGGAAGGCTACGCTGACACCATGCTGCCACTCTGCCACTCCATTTATCTACTCTGCTTACAATTGGTGCTTAGGTTTCTGTAAAGCAGTGTGGAATAGTGGACAGAGAGAGCTGGCCTTAGGGCAGCTCAACCTGGTGACCTATGTGATCCTGGGCAAACTGCACGATCGCTCAGTCCTCCAAGCCAAAAGAAAAGTGTCCAAGTTGCCACCCTCAACGCTCCCCAGTGTGGCCCAAATCAGATTAATATGGTCTTGGGAAATGTTTAACAAAATAAATAAAAATACAGTCCAGCAGAGATAAAAGTAGATTTTAAAATTAGGTCACCAGGCGGCCTGCAGGGATCCTTATGGACAGTTTAGTGCATTTCCATCTGTTTGACACCACTGCTCTAAGCAACTCCAAGACTCCAGGACTTTCCTTACCCAGGAAGTTTCCTTTGTCAGTGAAAACTCAGTTCCTATCCTAACTATGTGTATGTACAGAAAGTAAGCTCCTTGAAGGCAAGCACTGGGTTTGGGAGGTTTTGTCTTTGTATCTCCAGCACTTATCATAGCGGCTACCACATAATAAGTGAGTAAGTAATAAATGCTTGCTGAATTAATTAACAATGCATGCCAATAAAACCAGTCTCAAGTCAAACCAACCAAAAGAGGAACTTCCTACTCTTAGTTAAGTAAAAAGGGGTAGAGTAGACTTTTACAGAATTTTAAGGCGGGTTTTTTTTTCCTTTTGCTATAAATATTTAATATCTGAAGTTGCTTTCAGACACCTGAAAAGAAAATTACTTGTTTGACCAACTTGATTTGGCAAAGTACAATTTAAACTCTCATTATTTGGGGCCAAACTACAGTCAGATCGAAAATTATCTTGGCTGCCTACAAGGCAATCCCAAGTTCTTCTTCACTTAGGCCAACTCGACGACGAAGTAAAATAAGCAGACACTTAAAATGTGTTACTTTACTATTTAAGCAACGAGGAAGAACCCCAAATACACAAATACCACATAACCTCCTTGAGATCCTCAGGAGTCAACATCCTCATTAAAGAGAAATCAATTCCTTAAAAGGATAATAGTTAAAACAAACAATAAATGCACTCTCCCAGAAAAATCCATTTCAGTCTAGCTACTTTCTTCTCCATGGCAGAACACTCCCCTTCCTAACCAAAAGTTCTCAGGAAAAATTATAAATTCAAACAATCTTCTTCCTTAAGTTTCTGTTTGGCTCCGCGATCTTATGTTAAATCCACTACAAACTACAGCTAAAATGTAACCCGATGTGCACTCTGTCATCAATATGCTGTTTTGGCAAGTAAGAGCTGAATGGTTAAGTTTCATTCATCATTTTGCTGACTTTTCAAAAGAACAGGTACCGACTAAAATACAGTTAATAATCACATTAGCTTCTTTTATTATCTAAGGCACATGTGTGCTTTGTGAGTGAAAGCCCGAAAACGCGTCCAACATCATTACCTCTTAAAAGCTTCGGCGGGGTTCCTCTCACACTCCCCAGGCTGCAAGAAGCTCTGCACCGCCGGATCCCTCAGCTTGTCCTCATACCCCTGGATCAGCCCACTGTGGCAGATCTGGGCCACCAGACCTCGAACAAATCCCCCAACGCACAGCGTGTCCGAGTCCTGGGCTTTGCAGAAATGGAAGGCGAGGGCTTGCCGATGCAAACCCCTCTGCAAACCCGCAGGTGAACTTGGCCACAACAGCTCGGTGCAGAGGGCCGTCTTCCCGCTGCCCGGCCCTCCTACCAACAGCACACCCCAGGCTGCTCCCTTCCCGGAGCCAGCACTCGCATTATTCCCAGGGTTCGCGAGGGACGGGTGGCTGCCAGCGCTGTTACAGCAGTTAGTTTTCTCCTGGAGGCAATGCTGGAGCTTGTGGAAGACCCACTCCCTGCAGTAAAACTGCTTGCCCTGCAGCAGGCTGGTCTGGGCCATGGTGCAGGCTCCGCTCACAGCGGACCGGCCCCTCCTTCACATCTGCCAAGGCCGGAGGGTGCAGCCCCCCTCTAGGTCACGCGCCCCGCGAAGGAAGCTCCGAGCGGGGCCCCGGCTCGGCGGCTCTCACACAGCCAGCGAGCCAGAGCGCTGCTCCCGCAGATGGCTCGTTTTATTTCCGTCCTTTGTCTCGGCCGGCGGACCGCGGGCTGGCTTAACGGTCGATCCGATGACGAGCTCCGCGACACTTTTCATGCGGAGCTGCATGGCTGCATCTGGAGTTTACAGAAATGGTGGATGCTGCAAGTGCAGGATCAGCCAGACAATGCATCCGGAGCGGCTCGCGCGGACGGACCCCGCTCTTCAGGCGCACCCCGAGAGCCTCCGGGCCGCGCACGCAGGGAGCCGGCGCCCGGCGCTTCGGGGCGCACGAATGACAATTTCACCGGGCGGCTCGGGGCGGGCCCCCCATGGCGGCCGACAGGTCGGGGCAGGGGCGCAGCGCGGGGGTGGCCGGGGGCTCACATGCTCCAGCCCAGGCTGCGACACGACAAAGACGCAGACGGGCGCGTCGGGGCCGGGGGGCTCGGGAGCGCCACAAAGAGCCGGCCCCGGCGGGGGGGGGGGCCCGCCTGGCTCCTGCCCCGCCGCCGGCGGCTCCGGCCGGAGGAGGCGAGGGGGAGGGACGGGCGCCGGCCCCAGCGGGCTCGCGGGGGGAGCGGGAGGGAGACCTCCTCCGCCCCGGTCACCTCAGTCGGCGCACGCCCGGACACCGCGGCCTCCTCGCCGCCGCCGCCACCATGCCTCTGCCCGCGTCCCCGGCCCGGTTCGGCTCGCCCTAGTCCCGCCGCCGCCGCCGCCGCCCGGCCTCCAACTGCCAGCCTCCGGCCACCCCGGAGCGCGAGCCCGGCCCCGCCCCCGCGCGCGCCGCCGCGCCGGGCCCC